AATGCCCAAATGCTTCCAGCCTTTAAAACAGCTCCAGAGCTCCATAACATTCCTGGCTAGATAGGAACACCCTCTGGCTGCCCTTGACCCCCCCACGGGGGAAATCAGACCAGTCACACCGAGGGGGACAGAGGTCGGTCAAACTTTGTTCCATGGGGTCTTCTTGCTGTTGGAATGAGTTGAAACATATCTTTACGTGGCACTTCCCTTGTGGCCAAGTATTTCTTTTTTTCCAGTTCTTGGAAGGGTGCCAAAGGCTTGTCCAAGTGATTGCTAGTTTAGTGCTGGTAGGCACTTAAATCTCTGGTCACTCAATAAAGAACAAGAGGCCTGGGTGTTGTTAAAGCTGTTGATACCATAGCCATGGTAGGTAATCCATATTGGATATCCATAAGGACCACGTGGAAATATTTAAAGAGAGAGAAATATATATATAAATATATAATTATATACATTTTATCGTACAGATTTTTCGTAAAAAAAAATAATTTTTTTTCCAAGTTTGATACTGTAAATCTTTATTAAAAGAAATTGCCAGTCCAGGGCTCCCTGGGTGGTGACCTGGAGGGGAATGAAATGTCCTGGCTAAACTTCCACAGAGGGATCAGAATTGCAAGGTAACGTGGAGGGAGGAATGACCCGAAAGCTGTTGACCGCGTTGGAGACCCAGCTCCGCCACCCTCCGCCTTGGAGGGCCCTCCAGCTTGGGGTTGTCGCATTGCATTCCTCTGGGGTTCGGTTTGTTTCTGTTGGGTTTTTTGTTTTGTTTTTTTTGTTTTGTTTTTTTTTTTTCCCTCTCCGTCCTGCACTTACAAGCCTGACACCCAGGGTGAGCGCTGCATGGGGAGCTGGCTGCTGCCTGCAGAGTCGCCCAAGCGGCTCTGGCCGTGCTTCCCCACAGCCGTACCTCTTGCTTGTCTCTTTGCTGCAGTAGTTTGGATGCTGGGGCTCCCTTCTCTGCCCCTCTTAATTTGTTCTCCCCCTGCACCGCTGAGGAGCGGGGGCTCTGGATTTAAGTGCTGGAATTCTCTCCCCTGGCCCTGGCTTTTCTTTGGTTGCTCCCCATCCCCAGTGTGACGTGGGAACCATGGGCTGGGTGGGAGGCAGGAGAAGACGAAAGCGTTGGGCAGGGTCTGGGAGGGACATCTCTGTTCTTGTAGACGTGTTTGCTGTGCTCTCTACTGGGAGTGGGGAACCTTTCCCTCCAGGGCAGCTCCAGATCCCTTTGAAGCAAGTCAGCGTCTCTGCTCTTGCCCAACTCTACCGTCTGCCGGAGGAGACCGCAAAGCGCAAGCTTAGAGACCTGGGTGACACTGCAGCTCCGGGGAAGGCCGGGGAGGGGACGAGGTGCTGGCGGGTGAGCCGGTGTGGAGGTGAGCTGTGGCAGGGCCAGTGCGGTGCCACGGGACCGCAGAGCAGTCAGGCCACTGGACGGCTCAGACCCGGGGAGGAGGAGAAGGTGGCATTTTTTTCTCTCTCGAATCATTTAAACTTCATTGTCATGATTGTTTTTATTTAAAAAAAAAAAAAAAAGAAACAAAACAAAAATGAAAAACTTTTGTAATGTGGATTTGTTTTCCTTCGTCTGTATTTCAGTCTGCTGGGGTGTTTCCGTAGATGGTGGATACTTGCTTTCATTTTTTTTAATGATAGAAGTCTTCTGTTTTAAGTTGTTTTTTATCACCAGCTCATTCTATCCTCTGTGGTTACTCAGTAATTTCATTTCAATATTTATTTTTGTGCTGCTTTTTTATTATAAAATAAATTATTGATATACCAAGCAATGTGGATTCCTGTTTGTAAGGCGAATAGCCCTGTGTATGTGTCCATTACTTTCTCTTGACAGCCACAACGTAATTTATTGCTGTAAATTTAGCTGCAGTGACTGGTTTTTTTGTACCTTTCCAATAAAGCATTTTCTGGTTTCAGACTTGCCCTGGTCTATGGTCAGCATTTTAGAGCCTGAATTGATCATCAGTGGAGTGTTTTCCTCCGTTTCCCTGCTGCCTGCCCCGGCGCAGCACACAGCTGCCTCTTGGCTGCAGTGCTGTGGGTGAGCGATGTGGTTTTGGGAGGCAGGCTGGGCTAAGGCGCGTGCGGCGGCTGCTCGTGCTTTTGCAAGCGTCTGACCCAGCCCAGGGTAGCCAGCTCACCTGTCTCCCAGCCCTGCTGTGGTGCTGCCCTCGTGTATTTGGAACATGCCCAAGGGATAGCTCTTGTCCAGGCTGCTTGGCTGGTAGATCCCATGCTTATCCATGTACATCTGTTCTAACCCAGGCTGTGTCTGTGTGTGTAACTGGGGGGTGTTTACAGCAGGATGAGTGGTCACCGATAGCTCAGCAGGCACTTGCCTGCAGTGGTGATGCTGAGAGCTACTGGCTTGGAGACCCTGTGCTGTGAGATGGGTCACAGTGCTGGAGAAAGACACTCCCCTCTCCTTTGGGTTGTGGAATGTCCCTTCACTGCTTTCCTCAGCGACTGCTTGTGAATAAACTGCCTTAACCCTGTACATCAATATTTCACCTTTCAGCTTTTCCCTGTTGGGGCTTTAAAGAGGTGGCGCCTTGTGCCAGTGAGCTCCTAAGAGACTGGGTTAGCTTTAATCCCCTATTCCAAGTGGTTGGTTTTCTTTAGGGGACAGCCGAAGGAGGAAAGCACTTGCCCTGTGTCAGTTTGAGGCAATAGGTTGGAGGCAGATGGGTGCGTTGTCTGAAGTTGGAATTAGAGGTAGGGCAAAGTGGAGAGAAGCAGGGCTGAAAAGTCTTTGTGTGTCAGCGGGTAATGGATGGTCATTAGATGCCAGAGGTGGGGCCAGGCAGGCTTGGCTAAGCAGGGTCATGGATAAAGCCTGGGGGGTGATTGCAGTCACTGTGCTGAGCAAGAAAATCACCAGCTGCTTCAGCTACTGCCTGGAGAGATGGCAGCAAGGAGCTGGTGATGGAGAGGAAAAGGGAGGGAGGTGGGCCAGTCGTGCCTATTGGAGGGATAGAGGAGTGTTAGTTCAGGAGGAAAAGGGCATCGGGAGGGGGCCAGGTGGAGGTTCAGCAGTAAAAGGAAACTGAATCTTCACCATGCTTAGGGAAGGAGAAAGTCCTAGAGCTGTGGGGAGGAGTCTCTATGGTGAATCCTGTTCTCTGATGCAGGTCTGGCAGTTGGCTGCCTGTCAGCAGCGGGTAGGTGCTAGAACCCCAAAATTAATAAGTCTTCCTGCCTCTGACTGGGTGCTGCGAGGCAAGGAGCCATGTGCAAGAGCACTGCCCTGCTGCGGTACTAGGGGCCACCTTGTTTCCCCTCTGCTCGCAGGAAGCGTGGTCAGCCCCAGCTCTCGGGGTGCGATGGCAGGGTGTGCCCCATGAGGATGCGTTCCTGACACCAGGTTGTAATCCTGTGGGATCCAAGCCCAAAAACCACCAGAGAACCGATAGCTGCAGCCCAGCCTTGTCCTTGGGGAAAGCCTGAGGACAAGCGACAACTGGAAAACAAATCTGCCGACCACCCGAGCCTGCTGCTGGCAGCGAGAAAAGCCTGTTCCACCCGAGCTGCCTGCTGGCGTGGCTCCAGGCACAGCCGGGCTCCTGTGTAGGTCACCCGTGTGCTCACCGCCAGCTTTCCTCATGTCCTTGTTGAAGAGGTGGAGGAGACGCGTTAGCAGAGGAGCACAGGACCGTGTCTGCTGGGGAACACGTTCAGCCTACGCTGTTGGTATTTCTGTTCCCCGTGGATGCATTTTGACAGCGTAACAGTTTGAGGGCCATGACAGTGCCCAGCCTGAGCCGTGAGCTCTTACCTCTCTCCTGTCTCCAAGAAAAAGGACGACCAGGAGGCCAAGCTCACGCCTGCTGGAGAGGGGAGCGTTGCCTGCTGTTGTACGGCGCAGCAGCCAGCTGGTGTCCAGCCCAGCACGGCTCCTTCAGGCTGGTATCACACTGCTGACTTGGATGAGTCACAGCTGATTTTTTTTATCCCCCCCCTTGTTTTGCTTGCAAGAAAGACCTGTTTTACATATAATACAGTAATCAGGGCTTGACATAAATAGGCAAATGTTATTGTCTGCGGTGGGAATTGCACCTGCTGGCAAGAGCAATGAATGCAGCCCATTATGCACCGGAGCCGATCATTTGTGCAATGAAATACAACTATGTTTCTTGCTGTGTTCTTCTGCAAGTCTTTATCGCAGCGGCTGTGAGCGTGCCGACAGATGTGCCATCATCACCTTTGCAGTCTGTCCTCGCCCCGGGAGTCAGAGCAGCCTCTGTTCCTGCAGCTGTGGCAGACCCTCTCCCAGAGGGATGGAGACCAAAATGTTCAGCTGAGAGATAGCCTCACTTCTGTGCCGGCTGCATTACAAAGCCAAGCGGCCTCATCCCTGAGCAGCGAGGTTGCATTTTGCAGGCAGAAGGGTCCTGCTCTCAGAATGCACAGGACCCCGGATGGGTGCCTGGATGTGCAGAGTGTATGGCTCTTACGGACCTCATCTCAGGAAAAGTGGCAGCAGTCTCACCGGCTGATCACGTATGAGCAGCGGTGCTTCAGAGCAGAGGAACTTGCAAGACTGGCTTAGCTATAGGCTGCTCGTGTGGAGTCCAGGCTTCCAGCACGATAAGATTTCTCTGATAATAATAAATAGAGGTTGTCGCTGTGGTGCTGGAGTCTGTGCTTAGCTTGGCTAAAGCGGATCCAGCAGCTCTGAAATGCTGCATCCACAGCTTAGGTGAGGGTTGGAAGAGGTGCAGTGCAAGGAGAGGAAGCGGGGGACACAGACACAGTCTTTGTGGAGTGAAAAAGATGAGCACAAATCCCGTAGGAATGCCAAAATGTGCAGGATGCTGCGTGTGCAGGTATTTCTGCTGGGCCAGCATTGAGGGGCAGGGAGGACCTTGAGCTTAAGAGCATCAGCATTAGAGCAGGAACAGGCAGATCGTGGGCTTTGCTTGCTGAGCTAAGTAAAAACACTTGCTCACTCCATGGTAGAAATTGCTGTTTATTAGAAAAAAATTCATAAATAAAATAATTTTGTGTTGTGATTTACATTTTGCAGCTTAATAACAAGGAAAAAAAACCCACCTGGTAGGAGTTGCAAAACAGCCCTAAGCCTTACCTATTGGTTTGTTTGCCACATGACTGCACATCTGAGGCTGCAGACTTGCTTGTCCTTTCACCACCCAGCTCCCACCCCAAACAGCCCTACCAGTACCTAAGTAAGTTCCCAGGGATCATCTGATTAACGAGAGAATAGAAATTGGACTAAAAATTTGGAAAAAAAAACAACAGAGAGGAAGCTTAACAGAAGGATGTTTGCTCTCCATCACTGATGTGGGGAGAATCTCCCTGCAGTGTCTTCCCCCGCCAGGGCTCTGGCCCCGAGCGGCAGTAGCCCCCAGCACATCTCCATCCCCCCACCATCACCCGGCCGGGCTCGGCTCCCACTGCCCTTCCCACAGGTTGGGCAAAGCCCAGAGATGGTGAATAGTGAAGGGTTAGGGGGAACAGACAGTTCCCAGTAAGCGCATTCCTACCACCGCCAGTCACAGTCTGGTTCCCTAATAAAGACTCTGATAAGGAAGCTGGAATCCCTTTTAACTTCTGATCCATTCAGAGATAAGCTGGTTTAGACATAAACAAGTGCTTCTGTCACAGGCCACTCTCAGAAATGCAGCTGCAAGTCCGTTTGTTAGCCCTGAGTGAGCCCCAAGTGAGGTTCCACCGCCGCTCCTGAGGGAGTTACTCAGACAGCTGCATCCCCATCTGGAGGGAGAAGAGGATGACTTACTCTTCCTCCTGGTAAAGGTCTTCTGCACAACTCTGTAGGCTTTTCTGGGAGGAGAGGGGAGAAGATTTAAAAATAAGGAATGACGTCTTTGAACCGTTACCGGGTTTTGAGGTGAAGTGAAGTCACCTTCCTGGGCTGGTTTTCTCCACGGGGCCCTTCGAGATCATTTTTTACTCAAATTGGAAAAACTAGAGCAGAACTGTGCTGAGAAAAGCATTTCTCTCAGGCCTCAGCTTGGAGGTAAGAGGAGGGTGAGGGTGGCTGGTCTGTCCTGCAGCCTGGCTCACCTCCCTGCCGGGCATCCCCCAGCTTGGGCATGGGGCTGGCATAAAGACACCAGCAGTGGGGGCAAAGCCCGGACTGTACCGCAGGGCTTAGTCACAGGAGCAGACAGCCCAGTCCCTAACACCAGGGGTGATGGGGCAGCAGAAGCTGGCACTGTTTGTTTTAACCTTTCCCTAGGTTATTGCATCTTCCCTTTGAGAAACTGGCTTTTTGGGTAGAGTTCCTGGTTTCTTGGCGCTCCAATTAGACCAGGTTCTCTCAGGCTTGAAGCAGCTCCCATCTACATGGGTTTAAACCTCTCCAGCATCACTGTCCCCTCTGACATGTCCTACAGCTCCTCGTCTGACAGGATCAGCACTCTCTTCTCAATGTTTTTGCTCCTTCTGCTGCTTGGTCCCTCCACCTTGGAGGCCACGTGCCCGTTCTGTCCCGGCGCTTTGCGCTCTGCCTCCTGCATTGACTGCTGCGTGTACTGCTGGTACGCGGGTGAGAAGTTGTGGATCGCATCCTGCACGATGTCCTGGGGGCTTATGGTCTCCTTCAGCCCACTCGAGATGCTCTGCATTGGGGCAAGGTTTGCTGAAAAACAGGGAGAGCAGGAGGGTGATGGGACATCAGACAGTCAATGAGGCCAAGTACTCCAAAACTGGAGTGACACTTTTCCTTAGAAATTCAAGACCAGGGGCTCATCGTGGGCCATGTCAGCCTGCAGTGATGAATGCCAAGGAGAAGAAGGGCAACCCCAGCTGCATGTTTCAAAGAAGATGGAACCTCTCCAGCAGCATGTGCCGTAATCCCATAACCCCCTAATTCTGCTCATCCACAACAAGGTCTCTTTGCCGATCCACTTGCTGTGGCTCATGGGTATCATCAAGGAAGAGGGAGAAGGAATTCATGGAGCACAGGAGAAGGAAACTTCTCTGGTGGTTTTTAGCATCCCATTGGTTATAAGGGGAGTCTCCTCTTTCCTTATTCACTGATGAAGGAAGGAAGAAGGGAGGAAGAGTTACCTGTTGAGTTTTCTTTCTTTTCTCTGTACACCTGGCAGGTGAATGCGTAGCGCAGGGCAATGGAAGCAAAGAGCATCTCAATGCAGATGATGAAGTTCTGGTAACCAGCAGCCACCGTCCCAGCTCCCACCTCCTTCCCATCGATGATCTGAACTTCAGGGATCACCCCACATTTCTCTAGGATTGCAAGCAGTGTCCCTGTGCAGGGGAAGGGAGAGGGATCAGCTCTGGTCCTGCGTCCCCAGGTCAGGTGGGGCTACAGGAAAAGTGCTGGGTGTCTGTGGTGGGACCCACCTTGCCAGAAGGAGAGGAAGATGACTGCCTTGATGGTGATGAACTTGAGGACCGGCTCAAATGGGCGCAGCAGGTCCATGGTGGCAAAGTAGAAGAGGAAGAGGGCGTAAAGCGCCAGGCTTACAGAGAAGTTGTAGATGATGGTGATGTAGAGGTAGCCACTTCGGACACTGCAGGGAGAGAGAGAGCTGCTGCTTCCCTGGGCTGTGGGAAGTGAAGCAAGTGCAGCCTGGAGGCAACTAAGTATGAAATGGGGAGAAGTGCAGCTTTGCAGCGGGGCAGAGTGCAGCCCAGCCGGGGAAGGTAGGGCAGGGGGAAAGGGGGGGTCAGGGGGCTGATTTTCCTCTGTTGGTGAGACCTTTTTTATTATGGCCCACAGGAGTTCAGTCCCTTTCTCATTTGGGGGCAGTGAGTCTCTGTTCCCAGATGCTTTGAGCAACCTGTGCTCTTGCTGCCTGCAGAGCACTTCCCGGGGAGGGCTGGCAGGACACGCTGTCCCTTGCGAGGGAGCAGGGACCTGTCCTGTCTCCTTCACCCTCCCCAGCCCACCCCAGCATTCTCACTTGAAGTCCCCGTCGTGGTACTTCCCAAATGCCTGCAGGATGATGGTGACGATCGCCATGAGGGGTTTCACGATGCAGAACTGCAGTGTAGCCTGCACAGGGGAGAAACACGGTGCACCCCGGGCAGCAGGGACATCCCACCACCCTCCCTGCAGCTGCTGCCACCCCCGGCCCCTCCATCAACCCCTCTGCTCCAGGGACAGAGACACAGAGGAGAGAGCAGTTCACCACAGGAGCGAGGGTGCGGGGTGAAATATGAACCAGCTCAAGGTTTGCAGACGGGAGGGAGCAGGGCTCCCAAAAGGCAGCTCCTGGAAGGCAGTGTAGCCACTCCGAGGGGGAGACCAGGTGGCTTGGGGACAGAATGGTGCCAGGATTCAGCCCGCAGCGCAGCTCTGGAGAGTTAGAGAGCTGTCCAGGCTAACCTGGGACTGGACAGAGATGGCAATCTTAGCTCTGCAGTGGGAGGAGACCCTGACTCAGCAGTGAGTCAGAGGCAAGGACAGTGAGCGTGGCGCCCTGCTGCTGGCCAGGTGCCGGCGAGCTGGGTGAGCTGCCTCCCTCAGAGAAAAGAAAAAACTAAAAAGAGCATCTCGGGAGAGCGATGAAGCGTAGCAGCAGAGAAGGGACCTGTCGCCTGCAGAACCCTCACTGGAAGGGAGTGGAGCCGATGCGCCCCGTTAGGTACCCACCTGCTTGCAGAAGCGCAGGAACCCGATGGAGTAGGACATACCCTGAAGGCAGCAGGTCCCATAAAAGCAGCTGGACCTGGAAGAAGTCGAGGAGATGGTGCTGGGGCTGCTGGATGGGGAAAGCAGGTGGAGAGCTGAGGAACTTGTGCGACACTGAGACTTACACAATGGGCTTCCCTCGGATCTCTGTCATGATGGTGCTCTCCCCTCCAAGGTACTCAAAGCACAGGCTCAGGAAGCTGTAAATCACGAAAGCTGGCAAGGCAAGGGCGGACACGATCAGCAGGGCTGATGCAGATCCGGGAGGAGGTTGTTACATTTCACATTCCTTCCTGCTTAGGTGTTTTCTCATCCACCCTGGCGCTGCATCAGGATTTGGGACACTGGTGGGTGGGAGCCCAGTGAGAGGAGCAGCAGGTCAAATCCATCTGACTTCCAAGCGGAGTCAGACACCCCACACCATGTGCACAGGGTGCGCTGCAGTCACAGCAGCTCCTCTGCACAGGTGGTCTGTGTGTGCATGTGGCAGCACTCAGATGTCCCAGCAGTGCCCGTGGAGCTGGCCCTCACACACACTCGGACCAGCCCAGGCAGGAGTGCAATGGCCAGGGACCATCAGCATGGATGGACCTCAAAATTACTACGGGGTGGCACAAAGGGCCTGTGGCCAGCAAGGAGCAGGTCCTGAACATTTTTCTTAGACGTCCCCATCACTTATTTTTCGTATACTCCAAACCTGAAGTAACTCACATGCCCACACCCCTCTGTTCCCCAGGGGGAGAGCAATAGGGTGGAAGAGCAACCTCAACCCTGACGAGCTTCCCCTGCACCTCAAAACACCCCAACTCCCCAGTTTCTTAGGTACATCTACCTTCTGCTTTAGAGAAGCTGCATTTCTACCTCAAAGGCTGCCAAAAATCCTCTTTCCCCAGAGGCATGACTCTGCGGTCCCTCTGGGCCTGCAGGCAGGTATTGGAAAGGCACCAGCTTGTGTGTGCCCGTGGGGCATCCCCTCCATGCTGCTGATGGAGAAGGAAGGGGAAAACCTCTGCATGGAGAGAGAGTGGGAAGTGAAAGATATGGAGATTTGTTGCTTTGTGCAATCCAGAACAGTCCAGAGACACAAATCAGTGAGATGAGAGCCCTGCTTTGCCATCAGCCTCTCTGCCAAGGAGAGGCTGCACTCACCTTCATAGCAGTCGCGCACTGAGTCGAAGTAGACATAGTACTGGTGGCTGCCGAGGAGGAGGAGGCTGAGCCAGGAGTCGAAGCCATAGATAGGCACAATGAAGAGGATGCGGATGATGTAGCGCTGCTCCTTCGGGATGGTGTAATTCCTCAAGTGTGTGTAGATCTGCAAAGAGCCCAGCATGCAGAGCTGTGGCTACCACCGGTCAGGAGGGGAACCCGGTACCCTCAGCCCACAGGACTGCAGGAGGCTCATCCTCTCCTCCCCAGGGGTGAAACCACTGCTGGTGTTCCACCAACAGACATGTAAGACAGGCTCCACCCCAGTCCCTGGGACAATCCCTTCCATGAAAACATGTGGAAATCGGATCCCTTCCTTGGGGCTGTGCGAGGAGTGTGCCCGCCTCTGTGCCAGCCCCTGTGCAGCCCTCTCCCAGCGCTCCGAGGCACCAGCTTGCTCCAGGGCTGCCTTCAGCAGCACAGATCCACACAGCACCCAAAAATATGCCCACTGGCAGTATGTTTCAAGGCAGCTGGTGGTGTGCACCCCGAAGATGGGGGTGCCAGATGAGAAACCCCGCTGGGTGTGCCTCCGGGCAGTGCCAGTTCCCTGCAGCCTCTCCTGGCTCTGGCAGCCACCCAGGGAGCGTGTGGGCAAAGTCCACCCTCCTGAGCTGCCAGCACCAGGCTCTCAACAGTGGAGATATCCCCTTCGGGCAGCAACAGGAGGAAGTATTTATCTGGAGCTGAGTAATTTGCAATGAACTTGGGGGCAATCAATAGTTTTGGCCTTGTGTCAACCCCCGTGCTGAGCCCGATCTCCACTCCAGCCTGTACCTGATGGAAGGTGACGATGAGTGCCAACCACACGAAGATGCCAGAGATGACCTGTGCCGTCGTTGTGGTCAGGAAAATCTGCTGGCTGTCCTGGGAGTTGTTGTGGACAGCCGTGAGCAGGGCAACGGCTGGGGATGGGGGGGCTGAGGCCAGCCTGGCCACTGGGCTGGGCTCCGGGGTGCCCAGTGCCACGGGAGAGGGTAAGGCACGCGTGGCATTACTCATCTGCAAGGGGAGTGGCACAGGAAGGCAAGACCAGGTAAGCTGGTGAAGGGGAAGGTCCCAGCACATTTCCCAGCCCACACAGTGTGGACAAACCTCCCGTGAGGTTTATCTCCTCCCCAGGGTTCTTCCAGCTTGTCCCTCACCCAAACCAGCCTACTCACCATGGTTGGGTCTGCTTCTCCCAGCAGGAAAAGGCAAACATCCTCCCAGAAAAGGCCCTCTTTTCTCCAAGGAGGTGTATGCGGTCTCCGTGTCCCCCAAAACACACGTTTCTCCTTCCCCGCCTTGCTCCTTGTTTTCTCATGGGTCACTATGCTGCTTGAAAGGGAAAGACCTGCCTACATTTGTGCCCCTGTGAGTTCACACTTGTGGCTCAGGACCTTTTTTCCATCAGGAACCAGAGACTTAAGGGTTAAACCCATGATAATAACAAGACCCTTGCTCACAAGCTATGAGGACACTGATGTCCTCCTCCTTGGGAGCCCAGAAAACACCAGGATCCCTGTGGTCTCCCCCAAATTTGGCTCCTTTCATCATGCACAACCTGCTGGAGGCAAGCCCCAAGGCTGACCATGAAGCCAGTGGTTTGGCATCACTCAGGTTGTTTGGCCAGCCTCAACCACGTCGGGATGGTGGAGGTCTCAGTGTGCTGGCAATGCCAACTCAGAGACCTGAAGGGCAGCCAGTGGTCCCTCCTGCACCCAAATTAAGCACAAGGGAGCAAGGCTGCCATGCTGCAGGCAGGGCTGCTGCCCTTTGGCGATGCTGAAGTGCTCCAGCATCTCCCTGGCAGGTCTGTCCTCCTCGAAGCTGGTCACCCCAAGGCACTGAGCATTCCTGGTGCAGAGGGTGGCCAGGATGGCCAGGCACTGTGTACCCTGCAGCTCCAAACAACGACCAACCTAATAATACACTCTTATTCATAGCGCAGCTTCATATCTCAAAGCTAGCAGATACATAAACAACCATGTTTGGCCTCTCTTTCTGTTAATCTGTGGAAAGCTGCTTTTTCTCCAAGTATAACAATAGCGGTTTTAAAAAAGAAACAACAACAACCTGTGAGCAGAGCTCTAACAATGTAGATGCTTCTTGGTGTGTTGTTAATAAACAAATATTTTAGCTGCTGGGTAACTATCGCCTGGGGGTAAAACTGTAAGCATGAACTGGTGAGAGGCAAGAAAATATCTGCCACAGATAAGAGTGGTAGGGAATGACCTCGGTCCAATTAAATACAGAAAACAAACTAAAGCAAGAGCTCGCCCTACAGCTTCCTCTCCTGCCCTCTCCCCGAACCCCAACCTTACAGGAGAGGAAACTCAGCTGGTGTCAGATCAACAGCCCTAAAAATACCTTTCCCCTGCTCCGCCTGGCAGGAACTGCCTGTAAGTGGAGATGCCCAGGGCGGCAGCGTGCTGGCGAGGTCCCAGGAGCTCACCCCGGTGTACCTGCGCCCGCGAGCAGGGAAGCGGAGCCAGAGATGGCTGGAGGGAGAGTGGGGCTGATACTGTTACGGTGGCAGTGGGGAGCTGGCTCTTTCTTCCCTGTGACTGTCCCACAGCCCTGCCCCTGCCGGCAGGAAGAAGGATCCTGGGGAAAGCTGGGGAGGGATCTGGTCTTTGGACAGAACGTGATGACACCAGAGCTGCCTTGTAAACATTATCAGGAGGACAGAGATAGCTCGCGGCACAGGGAGGGAGGCGAGGTCCCAGCTGTGCCCTGTTCCCCATCACTCCTTGCTCTTTTGGGGGGCTGCCCTGCTGCTGGCTGGGGCCATATGGCCGGATTTGGCCACACTTTCCCTCTGTCAGAGCATCACGATAGGGAAGGACACGATCCAGCTCGCTTCCCAGGACATGACAGAGAGCTGTGCTCATTGCTAGACCTAATTATTCTGTTTTCCACCCAGTGCTGTGCCACGGATGCTTGGGCCAAGACATCCCAACTCCTATTAGCTTTCCCAGCCATCGCTGTATGAGCACAGTGGCACCAGCAGCCCGTCCTGGCAGGCTCCCCTACATTGTCACACTCTGAACGCGACGGAGCAAGTCATTAAAAACAAAAGCCTCGGTGCCGCTTGGAGACAGGGCTCCCAGCTCCAGAGGTAATTAGATCCCCGCTCTGCAAGGTAGCCGGGCAATTCAATGCAGTTAGAGGACTATTTGCTTCCAAAACAAAGGCAGTGAGGAGACACAGAGAACAGTATTAGCTGCAAAACTCAGCTCTTCAACGGGACTGTGCCAGTGCCACATCCAGTCTGTTTTCAGACACCTTGCAGGTACCTGCCACACAGTGTCTACCTGTTACGCGCACTTCCTGGGATATTAGAGATGCTAAGTGAGCTCTGAGCAGGAGATAAACTGAGCCATGAAACCTGTGCTCAGGCAGGCTGTGCAAAAGGGGCTTTTCACTTTGCTAGGGATTCTCCTCCTCCCACAAGCTGCCACAGACTGGAATCCCAGCTCACATCCCTCCCAGTGTCCCAAAGCACCTGGGACAAATCCCCACCTCGGCAGCAGCCCTTGTGGGACTGGGGCAGTCAGAAAGGACAGGCGAGCCCCTGCAGCCCCCCACCAGTGCCTCTGGGGTGCTGGCTGTGCAACCCAGTAAGCGGGGAGAGATCCTTGACCCCCATCCAGGAGAGGGGAGCATCCAGGCTCAGCCCCACCAGCACAGGAGACATGCCTTTCCTCCTGACTGCTTTCGGATAAAGCCAGGGCACGGGGTTTTCCACCAGCACAGCCTCTATACACCTGCAGGTCGCCCAGGAGGAAGGACCTATAGCACATAGTTATAAGTTAGGGCAGGGCAGCACCGAGTTCTCCTTAAAGCCCGTCCGGAGGAGTGGGTGACGCACACACAGGGCTCTTGCAGCAGGCTCTGCCCTCCCAGCAGCTCCCACGGGTGCTCAGGACTGACGGCTGGGGCAACCTCTGCTCAGTGTGGGGGTGCCCCGCATTGCTGCACAACCCCCCCAGGGCCCCACTCACCCTGCAGGGCTCCTCTGGGAGCGTGTCTGGCTGCCGTACACCTGCCTCCGCATCCCCTGCGCCCTCCTCCACCTGCACCCGTGGGAGACTCCTCCTCCGGGCACCCTCCCAGCCCTCGCCCGCCCGCTGGCAGCGGGCCCTGCCAGCGCCCCGCTCAGCCTTGCTGTACCCTGGGCCCCGCGGGAGCTGGAGCAGCAGGTCGGGCTTTGCCTCCTTGTGGGGAAAGCTCCCCAACTTACCTTTCCAGTCTGCCACGCTCGGCACCCACGCCCAGAAAGCAAACAGATGGAAAGCCACAGTACAGCCCGATGCCGCTGCTCCCAGCTCGGCACACGTCCTGCGGCCGGGGGTGAGAGCTCTGCCTGGGCAGCAAAGGCAGGTTCTCTTGCACTTAGGAATGAATCCTTACCTGGAGGATAGCGGTGGCTAAAAGGCAGGTGGCTGGTGGCACTGGCAGGCTTATGCCTGGTTTTTGAGGCAGACCATCCCCCTGGTTTATTGCAGAGCAGAGAGGTGCAAAGTCGAAGGACCAATTGCTCGTGGTCTAATTTATTGCCCGTGAAGAGGCAGCAAGGTAAATCTGTCCTGGCTCTGATCATCAAACTGGAGACACCTTCACGTCCTTTCTTTACCCGTCACCCTGTGCAGACCTGGTGGCACACAGAGCCAGGAAATAAAGCTGGTTAACTTGTGGTCAGCTTTTAGATAGTTACACTCAGGTCTTTGGGGCATAGCTGTGGTATGCCACTGTATCACTTGATGGAAGATGTGATTTACATTCAATTTACTAATTACTTTATGGTTTCCACAAGTTGCTGGAGTACGGACACCATGAGATCATCAAGATTTGGGAAATACACTGAATTTTGTGTCAGGAAAGAATCCCTACTAGCAAACCAGAACTGACATTAACAAATTCCACATGCCTCTCAGCCTTCCTAGACAAAAAAAAAAAGTAAGTGTAAATGAGGGAAAATTTGGAGTTCTGACAGATGCAAATCTTTGAGTCTTGGAAGCAGAGTTTGGAAAATTATTTTTAGATTAAATTTCTTGTCAAGGCTTCAGTGTTTGAAGGTACTTTTTAAAAAAAGTTTCATTTCTCATAATCCCTTAAATACTGTAAATAACCCTTACTTCAGAGAAAACAGTCCTTTCAAAATCCATTTTCAGTTTTTAGGGGATTTTTTTAGTAATAAAAATGACCCAGCAGCTGGACCTACATGGGGCAGGCACAGGCTCTGTGCCGATTCTGATGCACCAACAGGTCTAAGCACAGGTCTTCCCTGCCCAGAATGCAAGACCTGGCCTCTGTCTGCTCTGTCAAGTTCATAAGTGACAAAAGTGTGTAACAGCCCACTTAAAAATTTACTACTTTGTGTTATTTGTTACAAGAAGAGGTAAAAACAAATGTGCTTTCCAAGCAAATGGCAAAACTTTGCTATTAAGCATTGCATTGACTTGTATGACTTAATCTAACAGTTTCTCCAACGGATTCAGGAGAAACACCCCGTGTAACCCCCCAAACCCTTCTGTCCCTGTCTCCTACAACTGGTGCTTTAGGAGCAGTGTGCTGCCTCTCCGATGTGCTGGTACCATGTAATCCATAAACAGATGTTATTTTGGCTTTTTCTCACCACTGATTTGGGTTCCTGTCTTCCACCCTGATGTCAGCTTTCATGAAATTTGCAGAGCATAATTATCTGCCTCTATCTAAAATCAGAGTGAAAGTGGAAAATGGATTCAGACTACATTAGGAAAGGGACTGACATAAGGACAAAAGCAGTCATATAGGACTCATTTCCTTAAAAACAGGCAAGAAAATCTTTCCTATTATGCAATTGCTGTTGGTTTGTTACCGAGGCTTGTATTTCAATTGAAGCAATTTTCACGGAGCAAAAAAGAAAACAGGTAAAATTAGATTTGTCAATGTTTCTTTTATTCAGTCTGCACTGGGTGTTCCCCCTTTGCGGTACAGCATAGCTACAGAGCTTGGCATCTACTGCTCCTCAGGACACAGATGCAGAGCCATGCCATTTCCCAAATATACATCCCACCCAATGTGATAAAAATACTTCTCTTGTATGTTGAGACAATTGTTCTCATCTCATCACTGACTATATGGACTGCAAACCTGCCACAGTAACAAAACCCACAAATGTTCTACACAGTAGAGAAAAATTCATGAAATTCCTCAGTAAGTCCAAAACCAGCACAAAGACATTCCATCATTTTAATTTCTTGTCCTTTTAAATAAGTGGTGATGAGTCACGGACTCAACATCATTTCCTTGAATCCAGATGGCACAACTTCACCACACTTGGCAACTTCGGATCACTTCCCGTAGAGCTTGTATTCCTTCCATGGTCTTGTCCTTTAAAGCCATGGCGAGAAGAACAGGTTTGTTCCCAGCTTCCTGAGAGACGAATGCCACCAGGTTTTTGGCGCAAACATGGACGAGGGGCTGAAAAGCAATGGCACAGAGATGCACACTCTCACAGCTGGGAGAGCCCTCCCAGAGTTAGGAGAGGAAGAGTCCCGCAACGACAGGGAGCGTGTTGAGAACCTGCTGGTACTGGACTCAGACTGAGCATGCAGTCTGCTGAGTGGTTTCAACACGACTGGAAACAGACATGCTGTTTGGCTCATAAGCAAACCCAAGCCATGGTACGAGGAACTTTAGAAAGCATCTTCTCAACCAGCTTAAAAGGGACAGTTTGGACCCACGAGCTACAGCCACTCAAACCACCCTGAAACAACCTAACTGGCGCTGCACTTGAATCTCGTTTTGCACCGGGTTAGAAAACTTGGAAAGTCAGTACAGAGAAGCTTTCCTCCTGCTAATCCTCCTGCCCAAACTACTTGACCTAGTATCAAATTACATGAAATGCCATGGATCAAAACGCCTCTATTTCTATCATAGCCAGATTTCTGAAGAAGTCTCCACGTACAATTTTCTTTTAAATACTTGTTGCTGAAGAGGTTCTGCTGACAAGCTCTGGAATAAACCCTGCAATTCTTAGAGACCCCAAAGTGGCGTTATATACACAATCTTTGCATGACATTTGTAAAAGACATGTTGATTTTAACAGAATAATGAAAACCAGAAGTAGTGAGGCTGAAGGAGTGAAGAAAAGGGATATAAATGAGGTTTCTTTAACAAGAACATCCATCTTGTCTAGCTTTTATTTACACTCACAGTTACATATTTATCAGAAGAATGAGTTTGCTTGATTTTAGCTATCAGTGTGGTTTGGAAGGTGCATCGTCCCATACAGGGATGTTAATGGCGACAGCAGGAAGGCAGAAAAAGAATGAAAGCCTCTTAAAGTTTAGATCGATTAAGTTGATAAAATGATTTAAAAATACTACGTAACAAAGTAAAGAAAGGCACCTCCTATTTCCAAACAAAACATAAAACCAGCTTGGGGGTGGAGGTGGTCAGAATTAGCAGACATCATGCAAGGGAAAGCAAAGCATCTCCCATCCAGAGAAGGCAGGCTATTGCTGAAGAACGAGAACTCCATAAGGGGAAGCTACGGAGAAAATCAGGAACTTGTGCTGCTAAAGTTTTTCTAGTTAAGGTTAGCAAGTAATATTTGATAGCTCCAACCCTGATGAAAAGCCTCATAATCTTGTAGCTCTGTAACTTTCTGTTGTAATGCTCAACTAGTTGATGCTTTACGAAATACATTTTCTTCTTTCTCTCTAGCTTTGTGAAATGGGTCGATAAAAACTCATTTTGTTGAAGCAAAACAAATTAAACTTTATCAAGGGTAGGTGCTGGCAGGCACACTTGGGAGAGGGCAACTAAAGTCCATTATGGGGCTGGCGTAATTGGGGGTGGGGTGAGAAAAGGGACTTGAAAAGGAAAACAAACTCACTGGAACAGAAACCCAGAAAAGGTTATCAAAGGCTGCATGTTTGATCTTGCAACCTTTAAATCAACACAAGCTTTATCAAACCTTCCATAATCCTGGCGAAGCAATCCATATCCTGTAGGACACAAAATAACAAATCCCTAAACCACTCATGGCTAGCTAAACTTTTGTTATGTCAAAGAGCAGATGAGCGTGCATACTTTTCTGATTAACCCCTCTTTCCTCAGAAGAGATACCACTGTGCAAACACGGCTTAACTGCGGTGATTCATCAACTCCCTGCCAACTTGCACAGTCCCACCTACTACATTTGCCCCTTATCGTTGCTGCCTGTGCACTGTATATCCACTCTCACCTCATCCTTGCCCAGTAGCACCTTGGTGGTGATTGAGGGCCTGCCCACATTATTGCCGATTGTGTTGGGGTCCACATAGACGATTGTCCCCATCTTGCCGTACTGTGTGACTACCACGAGGACGGAGTTGGAGAACGCCGTGCACACCACCTCCGTCGGGACCCCGTGTACCACCTCCTCTCGCTGCTTGGACGTCACGATGGGACTCGCTTCCATTGCTGCAGAAAAAGAACAATAAAACAACAATAACAATAAAATGACATTAGATTAAAAACATGGACCATGGGCTATAAAAAGCCTGAATCCTTCCCTTCACTTGAAATACCCACGTTAAGTTGATTTCAGCGCACAAAAGCATCCAGAGGTGTGTGTCTGTGCAGAAACAACAGCCAACACCTCACATCCCTGGCCTGGACGAGAAATTTAACTGCCCTGCAGCCTGCACTCTCCCCGCACGAGCGAGCTGCCATTTATTTGGTTTTGTGCTAATATGGTTTAACAGTGATGCACCTATGGAGTGGGCCATCCCCGAGCCCGGCCCG